GAGGAAATCTTCTAGGGTGAGTGTGCTATATCCTGCTTCAAAAACTTTCTTGGGAGTAAAAGGGAGAAAACTGTACTTGAACAATGATTAAAATAAAATTAAAAAAAAACTTTCTTGGGTTAAAATCAGGGAGTCTGGATGAGTGCAAGTGCTTTACAAACGACTATTCTCTCTAGTTAATAAGCACAGGGTGGGGGTTCAGGGCTGGGGGAAAGAAGGGTGAATGCCTCATGATCCAAAGTCCTCAAACAGAGTTTGCTTTCTTTCCATAGGTGATGCCCAGTGGTAAGGACCAAGCTAAGAACTGAGCCTCTGAAGAGAGGTGAACAAAACCTGGAGAATGAAGAAACTGAAATTTTACTCCTTTATAGCAGAAAAGAAAAGCATAGGTAAAAGAAGTTCCTGATGTTTGCCCATGCTTCCTCCTACCCACCAGGTAGGTATCTCCTTTGTCTTTCTCTTTTCTTGTATGACACTGTTGGGTGCTTTACAGTGCATCCTATCTGCACTACTAAGCTTGGTCACATTCTAAGTGGTAAGTTCTAGAATCCTTTTGCGACAATTGAGGCTCTGTCAATATGTCTGATGATGGTGGACAGATGTGTGAGATTGATTGGCAGAACTCAGAGCACTGCATTAAATTAGTCTATGTAATATAAAGCAACAACTGCCTACCCCCTTCCAGCCACCTGTCCATTGACTGTTTTATTTCCTACTTGAGTTTTAAAGATAATAAGGGCCAAAGTTATGGATGTCCTAGCCATTATTCCCTCCCAAGAAAAATTTGAAAATAGTATTTTTGACATTTATAATCATAAAATACAGAATAACTAAAATTATTTGGAAATATATAAAAATATAGATAGAATTACTAATGCCTCAAATCCCATATTCCAGAGAAACCAAGAGTAATTATTTTGGAGTAGTTTCTTCAGAAACTATAGTGTGTGTGCATATATATATGAAATATATTTACAAATATATATATATTTGCAAACATTATTAGAGCTTCCCTTTTTTGTGTAATATCATATCATGAGCATTATACTTTGTCCTTAACTCTTCTCCAAGACTACAATTTGCACTGGTAATATTACATGTGATATTGTCTTTTCACGTGTATACCATAATCATTACATGCTAGAATTTCAGCATCCTTGAGGAAAAAATCTTACAGCATCTATTGAAACATGACTGAACTTGATATATATTACTTGCAATGTCACTTATTTCTGTTTTTCTCTTCTATTGGATCTTTTAGGAAAAAGTGTAAAATAATAATAATAATCCACCTACAAATGACTTTTAGGAAAATTATCTCCAGCATCTTACCATTTAGAATTATGTTGACCAATAGTTTGAAAGAGATACACATTTCCATCTTAATGATTTATCCTCCTAGCTATAGATTACTAAGAGGTTTTATCAAGAATTAATGTTGTATTCTATCATTGCTTTGGGGCATCTAGTTAGATAACAATGTATTTTATTTTGTTACAAATTTGTTTTGTATATTATATTGATAGATTTCCAAGCATTAATTTAGAATTCCATGCATTAATAAAAACAAATAACATTATTTTAGTATCCAATTTGGATGTACTTTGTATTCTTTGCACATGCATTCATAAGTGGGATTGAACATAGTTTTATTCTTTCTTTGACAGTATGGGTTTTAAAAGGGAAATTTTAGTTGGATAAAATAATTTACAAAGTGTTCTAAAGCTTTTTCACATTGGAACATGTTATATAGCACATACATTATTTGTTTCTTAAAATATAAAATAACTCTCATAAGCATTCTGCATCCAGTGTCCATTCTGAAAGCCTAGCAGTTACAGTGGATCCCTATCATACATCACAGTACATGTGCCATAGTATATGTTGAGTAAAAGAGTAAATGAAGGAGGAGAGCAGAAAGTGCAGGGCTTCAATGATAACACATAGCAGGGGCATCCTAGTTAGACAAAGAGGGAATAAATTGTTCTACAAAAAATAATCCCTAAGTTGAGAGAAGCCCTTTCTGCTTAAGATAACAACATGTACAAGCGCATAAAGACATAATGTAGCACTTAGGGGAGACCAGAAGAAATTCAGCATGGCTATTTTAGGGAATCGAGGGTATCAGTAGTGTCTTCACAATTTCCACGTTAGAGGGGCTTGGGGTGACAGTGTGGTTGGAGAAGTGGCTAGAGGACTTTACTTAAAGTTGTGTTGCACAGCGCGCACCCAGTTTTTTCTTAGCCTGTATTTCTCTGTTAGGATAACTTTTGTTGGGAGTCAGATGATTCTTGGGGAGTAAACCCACTCAATAATTTCTTCCTTGACTCTATTAGGAGAGGAGCAATGGCTGAAGTGGGCAGAGAGGAAACTGAGGGGAATTGATAGGCTTTCTGTGATAGATTAATTGTCCTTGGTAAAATCACTGTTTTTGTTTTCTCTTATTCACCCTGTATTTCGGAAAAATATTCTTCTTCACTAGAAATCTTTTTTGAACAGTGAGAAAGACAATCATTCCTCCTTCACCTGAACCATCCCACTCCCAGGATACAAATTTTTAGTTTACTGCATTTTCTTTAACAGTAAATATTAGCTCTTTTTCCTCCTTTCTCTTCTGCCTCATTCTCTTCCCCTCTCTATTTCTCTTCCTTCATAAGTATCTTCAGAAAATTAAACCTTCTGCCTTATCTGATTTCTTTGTGTAAATTATTCCAATGTGACAAGAGACAGGAAAGGAAATACACAAAGAAGGGAATATTTTCCAACATACTAAGACGTTGGTGCCATCATCGGTTTCTTTCATCTTACCAAAATCACTGTCTAGGTCATACATTCCAAGAGGAAGGAAAGTGATAGGTAGAGGGAGTGGAGAGGAAATACATTGAGAAGCTCTGTCATTATGACTAGCCAAGGAGTAAGCCTCTCATCCATGTCTTCAAACCCTCATCCATGTCTTCAAACTCTCTGGATACAAAAAAGTCAAAGAGGATGTGTGGTTGTTGGGTAAAGGTATGATCAGCAGTATTTTCATCCTACCACCTACTAAACACAAGCTATGTCAGTAGCATAATAATGTGTGGTAGTATACTACAGTATAACATAGTGCTTTATATAAGTCTATAATCATGTTTGGCCATCATAGAGTAAACATAAAACAATTGAAACAAAGCTGGGTTTTTAATATTGTGAAGTTGTTAGATGGCAGGGCTTAGCAAAAGATGACTTTGATTTTTAAAAGGCATAAAAGGCAAGAACTAGGGCAATTACAGGTCTTAAAGTACATACTAATTTACAGAATAAAGACCAAAGTTAAAGGATTCCAGACGTGTGACTGGTAGAAACAACTGTAATGCTAAGGAATCTCACATCACTATTCTTAATTATGCTAACTCTCGTAATTGTGAGAAAACGATGTAGAAAACTATAGACATATAGTTGTGAGATGTTGAAAACTATGGACACCACACTCCAAAGGCTACAGGAAAAAGGCTGTGATCCAGGCTTTAGAGTTCCCCCTCACATCACTTATAATCAGAAATAACATAGGCAAGAAATGCTTGCTATTTCAGTTAAACACAGCAGAGGAACTTTTTTTTAATAGTCTTCTCTTGCTTTGAATCAGTGTCAGAATATGTGAGAGGTAGTCTAGTGGTTAAGAGGGCTGGCTTTGGTGCCAGACAACTGGATATTGGATTTTATCTTTAGCATTTATCTCTGTGACCTTGTGCACATTACTGAAGTTTTGTCTTAGTATCTCCTCCTGAACAGTGGGAGTAAAAGAAGTTATCTAGAGTTATGTTGAAGATTAAATGAGTTAATGAATTCCATATAATGAGCTTACAACACTGTAATGTGCTTACAACAAAGTGCTCCATAAAAAATAGCTATTATCAATCAGACACATGTAGAACATTCATGGACAAAACTTAAAATAATATGGAAGACCTGTATATGTATTCCAAAGTATCAAATATACAAATTGAGGAAAAGTATATATTAAAAAGTACTTATAAAATGATATAAATTTGCCTGGAAAAACATAAAATATACATCTAAGAGGTAAGTGGTAAAGAAAGAATGGGGGGGAGGAAAGCATTGGAAAATCACAAAAGTTAGGAAGAAATGTTATGTGAAGTGACTTATATTAAAGTACAGCAGATTCCAGGCCCTGACTCCCAGACTTTTAACTGGAGAGATGTCCCCTGATTCTGGATCAGATTATTTCTTGAATCAGAAAATATTCACATTCCATTAACTATGGCCTGAAACCTCAATCCCCTTGCCCTAAATTTTTTAAGCAAATTTTTCTTTCCCAGTCAGTCAAGTAGACTTAAAAGTTATAATTTAAAATATGTATTAATGTATACTTAACAGTGTCATAGTGTATTATATACTTTATTGTATTCCATGTTATGTGTAATTTTAGATGACATGTTGTAATCACCTACTATGCCTGTCATTTAATAGATGTTATCTAATTTAGTTCTCACAACAAACTGCCAGAATTATAGCTTTGTCCTGCCCCTCAACCTATTTTACTAGCTAAAATTAGTAGCTGGGGTAGTTGAGACTGAAAAAAAAAAGTAACTTAAAATAGCCATACAGAAGATAAGTGGCATGGTACTGAATATATATACTTTAAATTGGATCTAGCTTTATTAGAATTCAGTTATACTTCAAAATATTCATTAATGAAGAGATTCCTATATATCCACATTTGAAAGTAATTTGTCCCTATATTTTATTTAACTGGAAGGCTGGAACTTTTTTTCAGCACAATTTCCAGCTTCTGCTGTTACATGAGCCTCAGCAGTATGGCTCTCTCAGTGCCTGCTCCATCATTAATAAAATTACTTAATATCCCTATTCTTGCTGATTCCAGGCTCTGTTCTAAGAATAAAAAATTAATGTAAGTGAAAGTCATGTGATACATCTACATTTAAAAAACCAAAATTCCCTGAATCTTCTCCTTTTCTAAGCCTGCCAGGTGACATGGACACATGGAGATAGGGAATTACTCAGCTGTGACCGAATTCTTTCTGGTGGGACTTTCCCAATATCCAGAGCTCCAGCTCTTTCTGTTTGCACTCTGTCTCATCATGTATGTGATAATCCTCCTGGGAAATAGCCTCCTCATTATCATCAGTATCCTCGATTCTCGCCTTCACACTCCTATGTATTTCTTCCTTGGGAACCTCTCATTCTTGGACATCTGCTACACATCATCATCTGTTCCTCCAATGCTCATCATATTTAGGTCTGAGAGAAAATCCATCTCCTTCATTGGCTGTGCTCTGCAGATGGTTGTCTCTCTTGGTTTGGGCTCCACTGAGTGTGTCCTCCTGGCTGTGATGGCCTATGACCGGTATGTGGCTATCTGCAACCCATTGAGGTACCCCATCATCATGAACAGGGTGCTTTATGTGCACATGGCTGCCTGGTCTTGGATCATAGGCTATCTAAACTCCTTAGTACAAACCATCCTAACAATGGTATTGCCCTTCTGTGGGAATAACATCATTGACCACCTTACCTGTGAGATTCTGGCTCTTCTTAAACTCATATGTGCAGACATCTCCATAAATGTGCTTATCATGACAGTGGCAAATATTGTTTTATTGATGATTCCTCTACTGTTAATTTTTATCTCCTATGTTTTCATCCTCTCTTCCATCCTAAGAATTAATTCTGCTGAAGGGAGAACAAAAGCCTTTTCTACCTGTTCAGCCCACCTGACTGTAGTCATCTTATTCTATGGTTCTGCCCTTTTTATGTACATGAAGCCCAAGTCAAAGGACACAAAAGCATCTGATGAAATCATTGGACTGTCTTATGGAGTAATAACCCCAATGTTGAACCCTATCATCTACAGCCTGAGGAATAAAGAAGTAAAAGAAGCAGTGAAGAAAGTCCTGAGCAGATACCTGCATTTTTTGAAACCATGAAAGGACTTGAGACATGTGATATCCTCAGTGTGGGACCAGATCAAATCTTTTACATTCACAAGTGAAGTCATGAACACAGTCTGCTTGTAAACCTAAATGTGGGTCTCCCTTCTTCACAACACAGAACAATCATGTAAAACCTTCTGAACAGTGTCTTGTCTGAGGTATCTAAGTGTAGGTAGTTTTGCGCACTGGTGCCATGTAGGGCACATGGCTTATCCTCAAGATGAATCTCTCTCCTGTCTGCGGTCTCCTTTCTCCTCTTTCTCGTTTTCCTCTCTTTTCTTCTCCATTTCCTCCTTCTTGTCTTTCTACTCCTCCATCTACTTCCTTTCTCTTCCTTGTTTTCCTGGTCTCCTTTTCTCAGTCACTTTGAATTGCACATCTCTTGTTTTATGGTCCAGCATCCCCTCTTCTGGTAAAAGAATGCATGTTTTTTTCTTTGATAATTAAACAGTCAGTCCCTGTAGGTCTGTGTGGTGCTAGATGGGACTGACCCTAACCTCTGGAAATAGTGATAAGTGTGGAACAAAAGCTTAGGCAATTAAAGAAGCAAATCCCTGCAGTCACAGTGATTCATTTAGCATAGCAAGTGAGTCCGCCAGGCTAATTAAACTCAACCCAAGGATGTTGTCTCGGTATGAGAACAGAGGCATTCTTTCTGCTAGAGTTGCTAAACTGGTCAAGTGTAAACCTTAAGGCAATCTTTACCAACATGTGGGGAGAGTCTGGGAGACAAAGAGGTATTGAAAGATGGAGGGAAAGTGTGTCTGATCCTATAACTCCTTGATCCAGTTGAGTCTAAAGTCAAATTCACAATTATTCTTTTTAGTTATATGAGTCGATAAATTACCTTTTTATAAAACACTAATTTTGAATTACATTTTCATCACATAATCAATCATATAGTCCTAAATAAAATATTCTTTTGTGCCCTCTCTCTTTTCACATTTTTGAGGTAAAACAAAAAACATGAGGATATATTACCTAGGTGGTCCCTAGATCTCTAGCCTTTAGGGGCTCCCCTACTTTTTAACAACTAAATAATCTAATTTCCAATCTACAGGTCCTTCGATCATTTCCTTAATAATTTCTAAAGAGTGTTTACATTTTCCTAGTTTCTGGTTTTCTTTTCTATACCACACTACTGTTCTAAATTTTTCCATAATTCCTCTCTGGTAATCCTGTATACCTCAGTGTCATGTAAGCTCCAACAGTACCTTTTATCCACAAAGACATAAGTTTCTTAAGTATTCACATTCAAAGGGCCACTATGTGTAACACCTTTCCTTAGGCTTGAAAATAAAAAAAAAGGATTATTATCAGTAAGAAAAATAAACCAATATTAAATACATTAAATATCACTGTTCTTGATATCTTTTAGCCACTCCCATTTACATGGGCCCTCTGAAGTCCATTTTCCTCTATAGCCCCTGTTCTGCTACAAGAATGATAATGCCTATTCATTTCCTTCTTCCATAAAAATCAGCACTTGTACCAACAAAAAAGAACAGACACTGACTCAAAGCATTCAACATGGTCCTTTCCAAAAGAAATAGAGAATTTACCCTCAAAACAGATTGCAGCTTCTACTTCTGGAGCTACAGGAAAGAAATTCAGAAAATTTTAAAAGGAATGTTTGTAATAGATCAGGCAAAGTCCAACAAACCCAGTTATACATATGTATAGTAACCTAATTTGTTGAGTTTATATGTATAACCAACCCTGAGAGAGAATCTGATAGGCATTTTAAATATAACATGTTCGAAACAGAATCCTTGAATTTTCTCATCCCAAACTACTTCTTATCAAGGCTTCCCCATCTCAGGAAGTGGCAGTGCCATGTACCCACATCCAGCCCACCAGAAAATTCTATCAAACTCTAGTTTACTCTGACTCTGAGCACTCCCATTGCTACCATCCCAGTCCAAACCACTGTCATGTCACCTAGGCTACTGAAGTGGCTTCCCGAATCACATCCCTGATTCCACTTTTGTTCTCCTATAATTTATTCTCCGCACAGCAACCAGACTGTTGTTTTAGAAAAGCACATACTGAAGTTTTTGAACCAATAAAAATTAAAACAGTGACTGCCTGTGTCAGGGAGGGGATAGAGGAAGTACAAACTAGGTTGAGGCATAAGGGAACTACTCTTATGTTATTTTTATGTTCTGTATCTTGATAGAATTTGAGGACACAGGTATGCACTCATCAAAACTATGCATATTACATTAAGATTTGTTAATGATATACATGCTGAAGTATTTATGGAAAAGGGTAATGATATCTACAATTTACTTTGAAATGCATCAAAAATGACATGATTTAATGAGGGAATAAAGAGATGAGTAAACACATAGACATGAGATAAGCAAATCTACTAAAATGTTAATGGTAGAGCCTAGTTGCTGAGTGTATGCTGTTCAATGTAAAATTCTTTTAATTTTGCTTTATGTTTGAAATTTTTCATAATACATTGTTGGACAAAATTATACAAAGCCTGTCAGGAATATAGCTCTTGAATAAATGTTGTTACCAATGAATGAGGAAAGCACAGAAATTGAATAAAAATAAAACCATTATAAATTCTCTTAAAACTAATTTAGGTAAAAATTCTGCTATTATAAAGGCAAAACTTTTTAATAGGCTATGTATGTCTCTTTACAGAAAAGAAATTAAAAATAGTGTTAATGGTCCCTGTGAAACTTAATTTCCTTTACTGAACTCTCTTGTCAGGGTTTCAGTTGCTATTCCTGGCAGATGGGTAAAAAGACAAGAGAAAAAAGGGAAGAAATGTATCAGAAGACTTACCAGAATCAGGTTCTAATGCAATAAGGAAAAAAGAAAAACAGCAAACTTTTCAGTATGATGTGTTGTTTGTCATATTCCTTCATGTGTTTTTGGCTGTTACTAAAGGGACTACTGATTCCCCAGGAACATCAGATTGTATAGACCTTAGGAAAAGAAATTTTGTTTGTTCCATAGCATTTATTTTGCAATTCCTCCTCTTCTTTTTTTTTTTTGGTAATTTTTTATTGTTTATGCTGTTAGAGTTGTCCCAATTTTTCCCCCTTTCCCACCCCCTGTGCCCAGCCCACACCCCTACCTCCACAGTTAATCCCTACACCATTGTCATGTCCACGGGTCCTTCATATGTGTACTTTGACTAGTCTCTTCACCTTCTTACAGCAGCAATTATTCCTTTCCAATATCATTAAGGCCATAAGTTTCCTATGCCATTCCTATATATTCACATGATAATAACCTTTATATCTTGTAATGTTGCTATTCTTAAAACAATCAAGTTGCATAATAACTAACATTTCCCAGGGCCTTTTCTGATCTGAAACTTTGCTAAAAATTAAGAAGTTAAAGTTCAAATGATTAACCTGTAAAATGACTAACCTATTTCTTTTCTATGCTATTTATATTTTCATGTCAGATGTAGGACAAATAATGATTACAAATGTGAGGCATTATAGGTTAAAGATAAAATACACTAACAGTAGTTGTGTTATAATAATGATTCAGGTGACTACAGAATATAAATGTTAATATGTATGTTACAATGCATAAATATTTCAAAATGGAGAATGAGACATTACTCAATATAATAAATTCTACTGGTATTAGTGATAAAAGGTCTGTTGACAGTAAACTGTATGCTTCTGATCAAAAGGTTTAAATTCCAAAGCATTTTGAAAGATAGCATATGTGCACAACTAGGTGACTGAGGAACAAATGAAAAAGAGAGAGAGGATGTAGAAGAGAAAGGATGAGGAAGAAAAGGGGGAGTGAAAAGTGGAGAGATAAATGGAGGTAAAGGGAGAAGACAAAGCGAGAGAGAAAAAGGAAAGGAGAGAGGAAAAGAGGAATAAGAAAGAGAGAAGAAAAGGGAAAAATAAGAAAGAGGGAAAGAAAAAACAAGGGAGTGAGTATGGAAGGAAGGGAAGGAGAAGTGTAAAGATTAGAAAAGGAGAAACAAAACTGTCATTATTGCCTGCAAATAAGGTTGTCTACATAGAAAATGAGAAAAATATCTATAAAAGAAAATCAAAATTTAAATTAATAAGAAATTCTAGAAAGGCTGCTAAATACAAAATCAATACACAAAATTTAATAGTATTTATTGCAGCAGTTATAACTAATGAGAAAATGTACTTCAAAAAGCCTATCTCACCACCCATCAACAAAAGTTAAAAATTTCCACGAAAAAATATAAAAGCTGCATAAGGAATTTTTTGAAGAAAAGTATGTCTTCATTAAAATGCATAAAACAAAACCCTTCACTAATTGAGGAGCTATATTTTGTTCATGTTACAAAATGTTCAAAATGATACTGAAATTTTTTTAATTTTAGAATTTGACCCCAAAATTCATATTGAATAGTAAAAACTAAAAATAGCCAAGAAAAATATGAAAATAAGATGAATGAGAAAGCTATAATAATTCAGATAGCATGGTACTGGTGTAGGTAAAGATATATACATCAATGAAATAGAATGGAGAAGTCAGAAATAGTCTGGGAATATGTGAATGTTTATATCCTAAATAAATGGTATTTGATATAAAATGACATTGCAAATCACTAGGGAATAGATGAAGTATTTAATAAATTAAACTTTGATAACAGACAACCAAAATGGAAAAAAAAATCAAATTAAACCTCACTCTGTGACCAAAATAAATTTGAGACAGATTCAAATACCTAAATGCAAAAAATCATAACTGTAAACATCTAGAGGAAAAGATAGGGGAATGTCTTCATTCTGATAATTCAAATTCAGAAAGATCTATATGGCAAAAATATGCATCACTAAGAAGGTTTAAATAATAGCATAAATGTAAAACTATATCAGTAACAAGTACAGCCAAAAAAGAGAATAATATCAGAATATTTTCTAAATCAGTCAAATTCATAAGAAAGATATGAACAACATAACAGAAGAGTGGGCAACAGATATAAACAGGGACCTCAAAGAAAAGGAAAACAGAATGGCCTATAAAATTATTTTTAATATTCAATAGACATGAAATCCAAGAAATGTAAATTAAATCAGTGAAATTTCTCAGCCCTAAGATATAAGAAATACTAAACTCCCATAAGAATTGTCAAAAATATGGAGAACAAAGAAATCCCATTCACTGCCAGTGAAATGTGAAGTAAATTCACTAATTCCATTTATAGGTATATGCCCAAGGAAATATTTACAGTTATTCACTGAAGCATTATTTAAAAACTAAGCATATGGGAATATTTAAATACCAACATGGGGAAGAATAAGGTACAGTATACACAAACACTGGATTACAAAATAATTAAATGAGGAAGTTCTAACTTCATTTTGTTACCCTTCAATAGTCACTTAGCTTCTTTGAGCTTCATATGTGCTGTCTTTATTTTAATCTGCAAAATGGAAATATCAACTTCACCAGGTGAATGAACAAGAGAAAAAGGATTAAGTAAAAGACAATATCCATGACATCTACATTCTGTCAGGCATGAGAATCTGCTGTCCTCTTGTCTGTGAAATAGGTATTATTCACATTCTGAGAGAAACAGCAATAGAAATAGGATATATGATTTGAGAATTTTAAGTGAATATTTATCAAAAACCTCTTTAAAATGAGAGCACAGCTAAATAGGAATGGAGAAAAGCTCAAAATATCAAATAAGGGCCTCTTATTAAAGAAGTAATCATAAAAAAAGACTCAAGTAGCATGAATCTACCAACATGCCTCAATCCAAAAACGTACAGGCTCAGGACCAGTTAACAATCTATGAAAAATACCATGAAATAGTATTTATACTGAGGCAGCTTGTCAACTTATGACTTTTTACTAACTATTTTCAGTTTCTGGGCTGTGCTGAGAGCTTCAGATGACTCCAAAGGAGTAGGGAAATTGGGAACTATATTTTTCAATATCCAGTGGCTTTATATAAGAAGAAAATCATCTTGAAAATGAAGCCTACTTCTCAGAGAACTATTAAGCTATCTTGAGACATAAACTTAGAATGTTTTTCAGAGGGAATTTTAATCAGTGTAATGTTGATTTACCATAAAATATGTGTCTGTCAGCCTTCATAAGAGACAGAGGGACATTTGAACATGGATCATAACATGTGTTTGGGAAAATCCTAGGTGACATCCTGCAGGACCTACCAAAGGGCAAAAGAGACCACAGACCCACTGTATTTGGACACAGCCTACAAACCCCTTGTATTATTGCCCAGGTCCTCAATACAACATTGAGAATAAATAAAACAACAAAGTATAAAGATGCTGCAAAAGCAATCCATGGTGGTCAAGAGGGCCTAAACAAATGAAAAAGTGAATTGATTACTCACCCAGGAGGTATCTGGGACAACTTGTGGAGGTGGAAAGAGCATTGGATAATTGGATAATTGTTCATTTCAGAGAGGAACTCATGAAAAAAAAAAATGTTACAAATTAAGTGCACCAACGTTTAAAGCAAAAGGTGTCTCAAATTATACCTAGGAAAGAAACCATCCATATTTAGTAATAAAAATATAAAACAAATTGCACAGACCCAGAAATACTTTTCCCAAAACATTTTTTTCCCTAACTTCAGTTTCAAGGAATAAGAATTATTCAAAACAACAGATTTGCAAAGCCTATTTGGGAAAATAAGTCCACTTATTAAAGAGAAGTTTTAAAATATCATTGGCACTAAATTTACTTTCAAATGCAAAACATAAAGAAGTTAATGTAAGATATCTAATGTACTTGAACAACTATTAAAATAAAATTTTTTTAAAAGATATCTAAAAGGTGATATCACGGACACATCTTAAACTCCTAGGTTCATGAGTTTTAGTGATAAAAAAAATTTGATTTGTTGATAGAAACATTACACACATTCTGCTACACTTAATATTAAGCTGCTCACAAACCTTTCCTGCTGTGTGTTGTAATAAGACTCACAGCAAAGAGGCTGATACTGAAACTTCAAGACATGTTGACAAGCTCAAGAAAAGGCATCCAGGTTTTTTTCCTTCCCTGCAGCATTTAATTCAATACTCAACACACAACAAGAGCTTCCACAAATATCCATTTACGTGAGTAGAAAACTTTTTAAAGAACATTGAATGAAAACTGAATTATTTTTATTACCAATTACTTTTATGAGTAACAAAAAGAAACAATCCTACATAGATGATGATAGTAATTTGCTTTTACTGAAAATGTTTCCAATACATAATCCTGTAGCACATGTGCAAAAAAAGTAAAAGGAACTGTAAGCTGACTCCACTCTAAATAACTGATTTCAGTTTTAGATAATCAAAAATAACAAAAATAGACCTGAGCACAATTCGAGACCTAATTAAGGAAAAACTAATCTATACCACCACCTAGTGGTCTCAGAATACAACACTGAGGAAGCACTTAACCCAGGAATGTGCTACTGAAATACAAGCATCTGGAGCTTACACCCAGAGCAACTGCCCTCCTACTCAGTTGGGCCAGCATTGGGTCCCCTTCTTTTGCTTCCTTCTGCAGATCTGCAGATCTGAGCAGAGCCTGACTTATGGACAAGACCACGCAGAAACACCATTAGGTGGATCATTGCCTACGCACGTGATATAATTTCCTCCACCCTTTAATTGATACCTATTTGTTACATGAGGTATAAAAACACATATTTATCCTCATCAAACCAAATAGGCAATAATAAAAAATTGGTCTAAAAAACCTTATCCACTGTTATTAAGGGTATAAATTTATAAGATGATTTGGCACAATTTAGTAACAATGAATATGTACTCAATATATGCCTCATGACCCAGAAATTCCACTCCTAGGCACATACACTAGAGCAGTGTTTGGTAACCTCCAGTACACAGATCCCCAGGGGGTCTACGGACAGAATTCAGAGGGTCTGGAACCTTGGATGGGAAAAAGTTACATCTTTATTGTCATCAACTTCTAACTGAAAATAAGCATTTCCTTTGAATATAAAATATAAGCAATGAATCACAATATTATTAACAGGTCCTTTGTGGCCAATAAACAACATAAATAATGTCAAATTCAATTTAGAATTGTTGCAAATATCTAAAAAAAAATTTTATATCATCACTACTTCAATATTATGATAGCTGTTATTTTAAGAAGCATGCCTATTTCTTTGTCAGAAAGAATTTAGTTGTATATGTTGATGATTCTAAATCAATACAATCTGCTTTCTTTGTAAACCTGTGCATTTGCTAAGCATATAAAACTTTTAGGGTTCCACAGGCTCACAAAATTTTAAAGGGTTTTATTGCACACAAAAAAGTTAAGAATCCTTGCCCTAGATAAGTTCTTAATATGAAAACAAGAAATATCTACTAAAAATTCAAAATAACTTTTTCTATAATAGTCAAATGGACAAATAAAGATATATCCATACAATTGAGTAAAGCAGAGAAATATATTAATTACTGAGACTGTAACAAAATACATAATTTTCAAAAACCTGTGTCAAACCTAAGAATCAAGTGACAGAATATACGCAAACCAAAGCAATATATTTTACAGCTATAGAAAAATGTATTTGAATCTTTAAAAAATGAATGAAGTGATTAACATAAAATGTGGAGTCAAAACTAACTGAAGGAGGCCGGGGAGGGTATCACAGGGAAGAGCATGTGACCAGGAAGGAACATGTATTGGGTTTCTAAGTTACTGACAATATTTTTCTTAAGCTTGGTGGCAGAGGTGCAGGTATTCACTCTACTATTCTTTTTTTAATATTTTATTTAATTGTTTTTATAGAGCGGGGAAGGGAAGGAGCAAGAGAAGGACAGAAACATCAATGTGTGACTGCCTCTCATACAGCCCCCTACCAGAGACCTGGCCTGCAACCCAGGCATGTACCCTGACTGGGAATCGAACTGGCAATCCCCTGGTTTACAGGCCCACACTCAATCCACTGAGCTACACTAACCAAGGCACTCTATTATTCTTCTTAAAAGTGTACAGATACATTATGTACACTTTTGTACCTATGATACATGTTTCCTGTTACCTTCTTACATAGGCAACCTTAGTCCACCCAATCTAAAATAACTCTCCTATTGCTCTATACCATCACATTATGCCGTTTTAATAATGCAGGTTTATCTAAGCTTTGGACTAC